GCGGGTTCAGAAGTGCAGGCAACTCTAGAGACAGAACTCAAGAGGACCAGTGTGAAAGCCAGGGAGACGGTACATCTGCAAATCACTCATCTCAAGTAACTGGACGCTGGAAGAGTCAGGATCCTGTCCTCTGAGCCTTCTTCAGGCAGTTTACCAGATGTGCCCACACAGGGGCTGCCCCTGCCTCCCCCCAGGGCACTCAGGAGCTCCCGGCACCTCCCAGCGCTGAGAAGTCCCGGCAGAGCTGCCCCTGGACCAATAAAGATTCTATGTGCGTGTGTGTGTGTGTGTGTGTGTGTGTGTGTGAGACGGAGGATGGAACCCAGGGCGTTCTACCACAGAGCTACACCCCCAGCCCTTTTTATTTTGAGACAGGGTCTTGCTAGGTTGACCAGGATGACCTTGAACTTGTGATCCTCAGAGTCACTGGGATCCCAGATGTCATCACGATACCCAGAAGTGAAGATTTCTAAGAAGTGTTTGTTACATGCCTGGCTATAAGCTACACCCTGCTTATTTCCTACCTCAGACACCCACACCCACAAAGCTGAAAAGGCAGACACTCGGGTTTTTTGTTTTGTTTTGTTTCATTATTTTTGTTTTCTTTAGGCAGTGAAGAGTTTTACAAATTCCTCTCCTGCCCAACTGAGTCTTGAGGACTCTGAAGTGAAACTGACCTGGTTAGCTCCCTGCTCCGAGTTCTGCGCTAGGTGAGTCACCTCCCTGCTCTGAGCCTCAGTTTCCCTCTCTGTGCAGTGGGCCGAATTGAGAGGACTAAGTAAGATCAAGTCAGGCTAATCACTAGCTTAGCAAAGTGCCTAGAATTTGTGTCTAATACATTTCTTTTCCATTTTCTACTTCTCTGTTTGATGAGGTGCTGCTTTCAAACAGAACAAAAGGGTAGAAAATGAGTCTCCTTCTGGGTGTGGGGACAAATGCCTATAACCCCAGAGACTCAGGAGGCTGAGGCAGGAGGATTCCAAGTTGGAGACCAGTCTCAGCAACTTAGTGAGACCCTGTCTCAAAATTAAAAATAAGAAGGGCTGGGTCCAAAACGCATGGGAATACTCGTGGTTTCAATCCCCAGTACAATAATAATAATAAAACATTAATAACAGAAAAATATACACACTTGCCAGGCATGGAGGCTCATACCTGTAATCTCAGCTACTTGGGAGACTGACAGAGGAGGATCGCAAGTTTGAGGCCAGACTAGACACTTAACAAGACCCTGTCTCAAAATTAAATTAAACTAAAAGGGATAGGAGGGTAGCTTGGTGGTGGAGCACTTGCCTACCATGTGCCAAACCCTGGGTTCCATCCCCAGTACGACAAGAAAAAAGGGAGGGGGCTGGGGCTGGGGCTCAGTGGCAGAGCACATGCCTCGCATGCATGAGGCACTGGGTCCGATCCTCAGCACCACAGAAAAATAAATAAATAAAGATATCGTGTCCATCTACAACTAAAAAAATACTTAAAAAGAGGGGTGGGCGGGAGAGACGCCCTTTTCCCCTGGTTCCTTGATCCACTACTTCCTCTCGCAGATGCAACCATAAATAAGTACAGGTTTCAAAATCCTTTCCAATTTACAGAAATGTTACAAAAATAATTCAGAGAATTCCAGAGTACCCTCTTCTCTGAACCCCCGGTCTTCAGTATTTTGTGTCTGTTTCCCTTCCTTCATGTCGTTAACACACTGACCACCAATGACATTTGTTCTCAAACCGTTTAGGAGAGACCAGAGGGGCCCTGCCCCGTCTCCTCCTCAATATTTCAACACGTGTCCTCGGAGCTCAGGAGGCCGTGGTCTGCAGCCACAGCACTGTTGCCAAATTCAGGAAATCCACCTTCATGCAACTCAGTCACGCCTGTGTCCTGACGGGGACACACTCCGAAAATCCCACCATCGTGTGAACACCTCCCCTTCTGGGACCACCCTTTGCCTGTGCCACCCTTCCCTGACAAGCGCGGTTGTGTGACGCCTGGCTGCCCAGTGCCACCTGGGCTCCAGTCAGGGCCAGATGCCTCTCACTGGTGATGTGGTTCTAAAGTGCTCCCGAGGATGTGGTCTCCCCGAGACTGAAAAGTGACCCTTGGGGTGTGGGTGGCCGGGCCGTGAGGGCCATTTAGATATTTTGTTCTCCATCGAATTTCCCCCTTAGTTTTAGCTCTCAGGGGCGGTTTTTGCCTGAAACAATCTTGACAGCAATGGTTATAAAATGTCACGTGTGTTTTAACCCAGGTAAATATGAATATTTCTGCACCTTTCGCTCATTGGTTTGTTGGTAACAGTTTATCTTGGAGAACATTCCACCGTGGCATGATCTTTTCTTTCTGGCGGTGCTGGGGACCAAACTTAGGGCCTCACTGCACCCCAGCCCTGGCATGATCTTCTTTTAAAAGTAGCTACTATGTGAATGATGTTATTATGCATGAATGATGATATTGTTGTTGTTATTGTTATTATTATTTCTGATACTTTGGGGGGATTGAATCCAGGGTCCTGCGTATGCTAGACAAGTGCTCTGCCATTGAACTATGTCCCCAGCTCTTTTTTATTTCTAATTTTGAGACAGGGTTTTGCTAGGGCTGGCCTCAAACTTGCCCTCCTCCTGCCTCAGCCTCCTGAGTGGCTGGGATTGCAGGTGTGCACCCCCACGCTCATGTGTTGGCTCATGACTTTTGAATGACGGTTGCTCCTTCTCAGTCTTTCCTCACCCACTCCCGTGGTCTACGCATCTTCTACGAGTCTTTATTCCAACATCATCTCATCAGGAGACTTTGCCTGAGCACTTGATCAAAATCTGCAGCCCCTCTAAATATGTCTTGTACTCCGCATCCCTGTCTCTGCCTAGTTTCCCTGTAGTGTTCAGACCCACAAAAGGGGAGAGCAGGGGCCGGGTGCATTTCCTACACAGACGCCTGCCTAGCCCCCAGCACCGAGCCTCTTCAGTGTCCATAAATGCCTAGTGCAGCAGGAGCAGAGGTCAGTGACAGGGCACTGGCTTAGCAGCCCCAGCACCATAAATAACGACTTAATGTGCGTATGAATGAAGAAGGAGCCAGGTGTGGTGGCGACTGTGATCCCAGCGACTTGGGAGGCTCAAGCAGGAGTATCCCAAGTTCAAGAGCAGCCTCAGCAAGTCGGTGAGAGCCTCAGCAACGTAGCAAGACCCTGTCTCAAAAAATAGAGTTGTCTGAGGATGGAGCTCAGGGGTAAAGCTCCCCTGGGTTCAGTCACCAGTCCAGCCAGGAGCGGAGCCAGGAGGCGAGCTGTGGACACACTAGGTGCCTACAAGTCCAAGAGTGCTGTTTGAATTACTGAGTAAAAGAAAGAGGAGCGCCCACCCACGTGGTTCCAGCTGAGGCTGATTTGAGGGTATTACTCAAGGTTACTTACTGAAATGTCCCTGCCCACAGCTCTCTCTCCCACTGGCCTGGGGCTGACAGCATGGACGATCAGGTGGCTGGCATCAGACCGGACCCGGATGTGGTGGTCAGGCCACAGTCCAGGGGCAGCGGGAGCGTTGTGGCCAGAGGCGCAGTGTGGGTGCCCAGTGGAGCAACCGAAGGGGAAGCTGGCGCCTGTGCTTGGATCTGAAACAGGAACTGGGGTGGCTGCTCAGGAAGGAGGCCCCACCTGGGCCCCTTGGCCCCTGGCCACTGCTGGCTTCCAACAGGCCACAGATGCTTTGGGGGGAAACTTGGTTATTGAAGTAGAACATGCATTCAGAAAAGTACACACGCGAGCGACAGATAGCGCCACGAATGTTCAAGGCATTAGGATGAGAGGAATTAGGATGACCCGCCCCCAGATCAGGGAATGAATCCCCACCCCACACCCGGTTGCTTCCTTCCACCTTCACGGCTGTCATCCTCAGTGATGACTGTCACTGCGATTTCAACACGGATGACTGCTTTTCTTTCTTCCCCTTGGTACTGGGGATTGAATCCACGGCCTTTAAGCGGCATCCCAGCCCTTCTCTCTTACTTTTCATTTTGAGACGGGGTCTCACAAGTTACTTAGGCCTCACTAAATTGCTGAGGCTGGCCTCAGGTTTTTGACCCTCCTGCCTCAGCCTCCCAAGAGGCTGGGATCACAGGCATGCGCCGCTGCGTCCGGCTTATACCACATTCTTTAACTTCTCGGTTTCTCTGTCTAGGAAATGGGATTTAAAGATTTCCTTAACAAAATCAGCAGGATGAGTGGTAAGAGCCACTGAGGGCGTGAATTGGGAGAGGCCAGGTACAGAAGGACACTACGGGGCGTGTGCAGCCTAAACAGACCTGCCTGACGGAGACCTCAGCTCCTGGAGGAAAGCCCTGGGCCCACGCTGGGCAGTCGCTGTCTCCCTGGAGGAGCTGAGGAAGCCCCTGGTCCTACAGGGTGGGCTCCCCCATCTGCTCTTGGAGGGGTGGTAGTGCATCTGTCTTCTTGGCCTCCCCCCATGTCCTCTTAATAGCACCCCGATTTCCCGGGAGCCCCGTCTTTGCTTTCTGTCCCTGTGAGGCCCGTGGGCTGACTGCATCCTGGGTGCCAGGAAAGCCCCAGGGCTCCATGCTGGGCCCTCAGCACCCCGCATCCCTTTGCCCACATGAATCAGCCCTGGGGTTTTTGCAGCAATTATTGAGAAAATATTGTTTTGTTCTCTTTCCTTCTGCTCTGGTGGGCGAGTGAGAGGAAGTGGCCACTGCTGGGGGAGTGAGAGAAAGGCGGAGCCGAGCGCCTGAAACTTCCAAGCCCCTGATCTAGCCGCACCTGAAGGCAGTGACACGCTCTTGAACATGCTATTCTGTGGAATCAATTGGGTTCCTTTTTTGGCCTAAGTCACTGGAGCAGGTGATGTTGTTATCTGCCCTGGCCACTTTGGCACTCATCATTTTCTTGCACAATGACCTGATGGCTTCCAGCACCCCCCTTCTCTGCCAGAGGGACACACAGGGGGAGAACGCCCGGGGTTCACCCTCCCCTGGGAGCAGCTCTTAACCAGTGATTGACAGGAGTGGGTGCAGCAATACCCTCCTCTCCTGCATTTGAGGGGTCAATCCCGAGGAGGGTTCTACACGGAGTCCCACGGCTCCCCGGGAGTGGGAATGTCCCTCCCCGCCTCATGTCCCATCCCCAGCCAAGCTTCTTGGGATGGTTCATCTCCCAAGTAAACCACTGGCACACAAACCCTGTCTCAGAGCTGCTTTAGCAGGATCCCGACCCCAGTGTTTCCCAAGCTCCGCCTGACACACAGGTCAGCGTTCTTTCAGAGCATTTTCCACTAAAAAGCAGTGCACGCGCTCTGTGGGGTGGTTTCCGCACTGCACCCACCCCTTGGCATCCCCCATCCCTGCGCAGAGCAGCCCGTCCCTCCGTACTCTTTTATCTGCAAGGCCTGCCAGTGATAAGAATGTTCCATGTCATCTTCCTGTCCCTGACCTTTGAAGAACTCTGTCCACTCAGGGCCTGTGACGGTGACTCAGACCGAGATGTTCCTTTCTGTGGATGAAAGTAGCAGGAACAGAGAGGGGCCCGGGGCTGCTGCTCCTCCCTCCCCCTCCCCAGCAGTCACCGAGCACCCGGCTCTCCAGCAGGAAGGCCTAGTTGTTGACGCCCAGGAGTGGACAAAGCCGTGGCCAGGAGCAGCTGTTCTGCTGAAATGTCACCGCTGCTGCTGCTGCCACCTCTGCCTGGGGCTGAGAATCCAGGGACTGGCCTCTGGAACTCCCCTGCTGGAGGACAAACACCTCTGCCGCTGAACTTGCCAGGCTTGGTGCCTCTGCTTGCTCTTGCTTCCCGGGCTCAGCAGGATGAACCCAGGAGCAGAAGGTGTGCCCGCGGCAGGGGAGTCTGGGAACTGGGGCTTTTTCCCTCCTGGGCTTTATAAAGCAGGCGCACCAAGGGGAGTTGGCTAAGTGTGGAGTGAGCCAGGCGGCGGCACTGCCTGCTGTAGGTCTGCAGCAAAGATAAAGTCAGAAAAGTCCCCCACTTTCCAAGCACCCAGAGTTGAGGGGGAAGACAACACAAAGAAGAAATTCCAGGAGAGTGGAGCATTACTTCAGAGAAAGTATAGCAAATAGCAAACATATATTCCAGGAAGATTCAGCTCTTCCGACAGGACCACCTGACAGAGGTGTCATTGTGCATAACTTGTGAAGATGCATAGAGGACAACTGGGCAAAGAAGAGCAGGTGGGAACTGTACTGAAGGCAAGCACAAGCATCATGTGCAAAGGCCCAGTGGTAGGGAAGACGGTGAGGAAAGTATGGGAGCAGTTGAGAGAAGATAGTTGGTTGGAGAACAGAGAACAAGGAAAAATGAGGAAACAGAGGAGTGGGAAGGGAACGCTAAGGAGTTCAGACTTTCTCCTAAGGGCAATGGCGAGCCCTTGGGCTGACAAGCAGGGCAGTAGCACGATAATAGTGATGATATTTATTGAGCCAACTCTTTTGCTAAGCTGCTGACGTAGATCACATAGTACAAATTTGCAGCAATCCTATAAGTCAAGTTCTACAGACCGTGAGCAAATTTCTCAGCCACTATGTGGCTCAGTTTCCTCATATGCACAGTGAAAGTAATAATAGAGCCCACTGCAGAGGGTTATTATGACGGGTGATACGTGTGCCCAAGCCAGGCACTGGGGCGCACACCTGTAATCCCAGAGGCTCAGGAGGCTGAGGCATGAGGAGGATCACAAGTTCAAGACCAGCCTCAGCAACTTGCAAGTCTCTAAGCAACTCAGCGAGACCCTGTTTCTAAATAAAATAGGAAAAAAAAATGGGCTGGGGGATGTGGCTCAGTGGTTCAGCACCCCTGGGTTCAATCCGGATACAAAAAAAGAGTGCCCGAGGGGAGGGGGCCCCACCCACATTAGCTTATGCTGCTATTTTTCCATCTTAACCTATGAAAAAGCTGAAGCCCAGACAGATCAATCAGCTTGCCTGCGGTCACGTGGCGAACAAGGTAAAGAATGGACGAGACAGGGTGGTGCGAGTGGAGGGGCCGGTGAGCACGGAGAAGCCATGTCTTTATCTTAGGGCCCCAGGGAACCTGGGTTGCCGTCGGCACCCACACGGCCAGCCTCTCTCTGACGGCTAGAGTGTGGCCAGCGTCTGAATTGCAGCCTACCACTACAGTTTATGCTTGACATCTCTCGTGGCTTTAATGTTTATATAAATGGCGGCATACTAACAGTTTACTTGTGCAAGCTCGGTCAACACTTTGCCCTGTGACGCCTTCATCTTCAATGTCTGTTTGTATCCCATTACGGGAAGTGCGCTGTGGTTCGCCCAGCCCCTGCCCTGGCCTGTTCAGTGCATTCCACCTTTGGCCTCTGCTGGGCAAAGTGGCCACACCCATCTTTGCACCTGTTAGAGCTTCTCCAGGATGTGGTGATGTTGGTCACCGGGCTGTGGACTTTGGCCACCTCACAGCAGAGTATGTGTGTTCTGACGTCCCCACTTCCTCACCAACGAGAACACCACCAGCACGTACCAGGCCACTTCCCCAGCCCCATCTGGTCTGTTTCCACCAAGTGCCCACCCACACGGTGCAGGGCACAGATCCTGCCCCAGGGGGCATTCGCTTTGAAGACCAGGAATCCAGGCGCAGCCAAGGCTGTGAAGGGCATTTTCCCAAAGCAGACACCTGACTGGCCAATAGATGGAGGGAAAGACCTTCAAGGTTCCTCCCCAGCAGGCAGTGCAAGTTAAAGAACTGAGAGGCATCTCTTAGCAGCGGACGGGCAGCAGTTCCAAACCAGAAAATACCAAAGTCACCGCCCACACCTGTGACCAGGCGGCTAGATGGCCCCCGATTCAGGCCCTTTGTGACCTGACTCAACTCCACCTCCCCAATGTCCTCTCCCTGGACACCTCCTCTGTTTCTCATGAGTACTACCAGCTGTCCTCTGTCCCTTGTACATGTGATGTCCTCTACTCTTCCCATGGTGGCTCCATCTCTTCCTTCAGGCCTCAGCCCAAATGCCACCTCCTTAGAGAGGCTTCCTGACCATGCTGTTCAGACGAAACCCAGGCACAAAGAGACTGAGCAGAAGGGCCAAAACTTGTATAACTGAAGTACTGGTGAGATTTGTGGTTATCTTTTTTTATATGTATATTCTTTAGTTGTAGATGGACATAACACCTTTACTTTATTTTTACATGGTTCCGGGGATCGAACCCAGTGCCTCATGCATGCTAGGCAAGCGCTGTACCACTGAGTCACAACCCTGGGTCCTGGGATTATCTTATGTGCCAGTATTTCAAGTTTTTCCAAAATGATAATGCATTCCCTATGTGGCTTTTTTATTTTTTATTTTTTTGGTACCTGGGAGCACTTAACTAACTGAGCCACATCCCCAGCCCTTTTTCATTTTTATTTTTTATTTTGAGACCAGGTCTCCCTAAGTTTCTTAGGGCCTTGCTAAGTCGCTGAGGCTGGCCTTGAACTTGTGAACTTGGGGTCCTCCTGCCTCAGCCTCCTGAGCTGCTGGGATGACAGTCCTGCGCCACCACCACACCCTACTGAATAAGAGTTGTCAGTGGTCAGTGATCAGAAATGCTGGCTCCAGATGCAAAAGCCAGACCTGAAGCTACCCCCTCCCCAGAAATACCAACGAGCACCCCCAAGGCCTGTTTCAAATGTCAAAGGCCATGATGCTCCCTGTGGGCACAGCTTCTTTGTCCCAGAGGTGAGAAGGATCAGAACTCAAGGCCATAACCTGGGTGCTGTTTTCAATGCCATCTACCGGAGATGTGCCCCCTGCTCCACCCGAGCTCCCACACCAAAAGGACTTTCCGGCTGTCAGCCGCCCCCCCACCCCAGTGAGTTCTCTCTCCCCTGCCTCAAGTACACCCTGCTCCATTTACTCTTCCCTCCCTTGACTGTCCTGGAACTTATTCTTTCAACTTATGCGATAAGAACCCGAAAGGAAATTGGGGAAGCAGGGAATCTAGTCCCACCTCTACACTCAGGTTTCACTATGTGATTTTTTTTAAAATTCAAATTTAATTTTAAAAAGTGTTTTGATTTGTAGATGGACACAATACCTTTCATTCATTCATTCATTCATTCATTAATACTGGGGATTGAACCCAGGGGGCACTTAACGGCTGAGCCACATCCCCAGCCCTTTTGGTGTTTTATTTAGAGACAGGGTCTGGATAAGTTGCTAAGGCTGGCTTTGAACTCATGATCCTCCTGCCTCAGCCTCCCATGCAGCTGGAATTTCAGGAGTGTGCCGAGGTGCCTGGCACAGATTTGTTGAACAAACACCATCCTGTCGTGGTGGGTTCAACTGAACAGTGCCACTGCCGACCCCTCTTCAGGGCAGTAGACGTGGTCTGGTGGCCTTTGAGATGAATGCATGGAGATCTATTGACTGACTGGGCCACTAAACCCCACTGAATGGCTGTGGGTGAGATCAATGGTCAAACGAAACCGGAGGCAGGAAGAGTCAGCCATCCCTCCCAGAACACTGAGAAGGCTGGGAGACCCGCCCGCCCGACCCACCTGGCCTTCACAGTCTCCTTGTGATTCACTGGGAGAGGACTTGAGTAAACCAGGATGACACTGTGTTCAAGAACCTCAAAGATCTGGTCAGGCAAATAGCCCAGCGATCACCGCAGCCCGGAGGTGAAGTTGTTCAGCATGCAGCCCACCCCCACGTGGGCTCACTTTCATCTGATTATGAAAGTAATGTTGACCCATAACTATAAAGTTTTTTTTTTCAAACACCTTGGAAAAGTATGAAGAGAGTGAAAAATGGTCACAAATTTAGAGCATTTTGTAAATTACCTCAGCTTTCTTCCCAGTGCACATAGTACATTCAAACTCCAAAGTAAATTTGTGCTTTTTATTAAGCAGGAATACCTAAGATTCATTGAGTAACTTACAGTGCATATGCCATTGCTCTCTGTGTGTGAATCTACTTTATATTCACCATAGTCCTGGGTAATGAGCACTGTTTTTTTTTTTTTCTTTTCCAGTCCTAGAGATTGAAGCCAGGGGATTCTACCCCTGAGCCGCATGCCCAGTTCTAAATTTTATTTTTGAGACAGGTTCTCACTAAGTTGCCCAGGTTGATCTCTGTGTTCTATCCTCCTTCCTCAGCCTCCCGATGAGCTGGGATTGATTTCAGGCATGTGCCATGGTGCCTGGCACCCGTTTTACAGATAGAAACTGAGGCACGGAGAGGTGAGTGATTTGCCCAAGGTCAAGGTGTAGGTGGCCCAGCCAGGATTCAAGGCCCCGGGACCTTAACAGCGCACTCTGTGGTCAAGCCCCAGTGGAGGCCCCTTCCCAAGCTAATACAGAGAGGCATGTTCCCAGGATCCGCCTTTATTCTCCTGTCAATGGACGATTGAGGTTTCCCTAATTTTCCCCCATTAGGAAAGAGACAGAAAAAAAGGTCCCTTTGGGGCCATAAATGAGGTAAGAAAACTGCTTCGATGTCACCACAAGCTGTATTTCTGTCCTAGGAGTGGCAGAACAGGCTCAGCCCAGCGGGGCAGTCACCCTGCAGTGGCACACACGTCCGTGGGAGTCCACATGCACCACGAGGGTTCAGCGCTGCTGCATGCTGGTTTATTTGATGCGAAGAGAACACTCTGGAATGCCAGCCGGGGACGCGGATCCAAGGTTGCCCAAGTGTAAGCGGCAGGGCTCAGCCCTGGGTCCGGTTCCTCCTCCCGGTGGAAGCACCCAGGTGCCGCCGCAGGGGGTGGCAAGGCCGGCCACCCCGGCTCAGGGCGAGCGGGACCTGCCGGCAAAACGAAGACTGGGGCTGGATTTTGAACGAAGCCCTGGACTTTGTGTCTCATGCTCCAGTTCAACCGGCCTCTGGTCACCCTCGGTTTCCAGGGAGCTGGCCAGCCCTGGGTCCTCAAAGCAAACCACCTGCAGGTCAGGCTGAAGGCAGCAAGGCCAGTGTGCATCTTGTCCCGTTGGGACAATACCCATTTATTTGCTGGCCCCGGGTTCTGCGGGTGCTAGGCTCAGTGTCACAGGCGCGTTGGGAGGTCGCCGTCCAGTCCTCCTCTGAAGCCAGCTTTGAGCTCACTCTGGGGTTGGCAGGTGCGCTTCCCTGCAGCTGCAGAACCAACCGAGGCGCGCACCCCCGACTCGCGGCCCGAGGTTCCCTCTGCACTGCGGGTCCTGCGGCCCTTTCCATCTTTGCATTTAAGGCACATGACTTGCCGATCTGGTGGTGCAGGACTATAATCCCAGCAGCTCGGGAGGCAAGAGGATGCAAGTTCCAGGGAGCCTCAGCAACTTAGGCCCTAAGCAATTTAGAAGACCCAGTTTCAAAATAAAGAATAAAAAGGGCTGGGGATGTGGCTCAGTGGTTCAGCGCCCTTGGGTGTAAATAATGAAGTAAAGGCAAATACTTTGAATGTCCCACAGACTTGTAAAAGAATCAGAGGGACAGGGACACCCCTCAGGAAGAGGTGGCTCGTGGGGCCATCCTGCTTCCATTCCGGCTGAGGCCCTGGGCTGCTGTGAGGTGTCCTTCCTGGAGTCTGCTGGGTTCCCAAGGGGAGCCTTCCCCACACCTGCCTGCCATCCCTCCACCCAGCACCGCCCCTGAGGTGAAGCCAGAGGAGACCCCAGAAGATTCCTAAGGAGGAAATGAGGTTAGAGAGACAGTCACCCCAAAGGGAGCTCTTTGTGCTATTGTGTGCACACAGTAGGTGCTTCATCCATGGTTAATGACTTCTACCGGGTACTATTCTGCGCACTAAAGCCCTTTTCAGTCTAATGAGGATGACAGATAATAAGGAAGTAAATTTTTCAAAGAAATAGAATATTACACTAAGTGAAAGAAGCCAGTTAGAAAATGCCACATTTTTATTCCGTTCATAGGAAGTGCTCAGAACAGGCAAATTCACAGAAATAGAAAATAGCTCGTGATTGACAGGCACGGGGTGAAGTGCACGGAATCAGAATCTTGTCAGGGTGATGGGAATGTTCGGGAATCTGAGAGTGGAGACAGTGGCACAGCACCGGGAATACACTGACGTGTGCCCTTCAAAATGATGAAGGTCATGTATTAGGGATATTTCAATGACAATTTTTAAACATTTTGTTTGTGTGTGGTGGTGCTGGGGATTGAACCCAGGGCCTTGTGCAGGCGAGGCAAGCACTCTACCAACTGAGCCCTATCCCCAGCCCCTTAAAACATTTTTTGAAAGAACAAAAATTTCACACAGTGCTATGAGCCATGAAGTCAAGAAAGTAAAACGTTGAAAGACAGCAATGGTTTGGGCAGGTGGAGGGACTACCTCAGGCTGGGTGGTTTCCTCTGAGGCACAGACATTTGTGATGGGACCTGGCAGGCTTCGAGGGCAGCTATATAGACAAACACAGCAAGTGCAAGGGTCCTGAGGCAGGGATAGCTCTGCATGTTCAAGGAGAAGTCTGTACAGCTGGAGCTGGGTGAGCTGGGAGGAGGCAGTGGACCAGAGGGGGCCTTGCAGACCACTAATAGACGTTGGAGTTTGGCTCACCATCAAAGGGGAGCCCCAGGTGAATTTGAGCAGGAGTAACATGATCTGATGCAGGAGGCAGCGGGTAGGGATCAAAGCAGAAAATACAGGTAAAGCAGCCGGCACGGCTCTGGGGCTGGCAGCACCCAGTAACCCCCAGTCACTTCCATAAACCAGAAAGATGCCAGCTTGTCAGGTTTAGTTGAACACAGGAAGTCAAGACCAGGGGCATCTTGGTATTTCCACTGACTCATGCCCTATTGTGTGAGTCACCTTGCCTATCAGTTCTTCCTCTCCTCCCCACAGTCACCTTTGTGTCTTTGCCACCGTCCCCACCCTGAGCCCTGGTGACAGATGGAAACATTATCTTGTTTCTAGGCTGCCCTGGGCTGATCTTTTTGCTTTCTCTCTCTCTCTTAAAAACGTAATATTTTACTGGGTGTGGTGGTGTATGCCTGCAATGCCAGCAACTCAGGAGGCTGGGGCAAGAGGATTGCAAGTCTGAGGCCGGCCTCAGTAATTTAGTGAGGCCCAAAACAACTTAGAGAGACCTTGTCACAAAATAGAAAATGAGAAGGGCTGGGGTTGTAGCTCAGTTGGTAGAGCACCCCTTGGTTCAATCCCCAATATAACAACAAACAAACCACAGCAAACCCATCCTGGCTTTAGGTTTTATTTTTATTGAGGTCATACATACACATAAGTTGAAGAGTCAAGTTTCAATTCACTTTCCAAAGAAAGAAATCTCCACTTTACTCACTCTTCCTATTACCCCTCTCACCTTGAACTTTTTTTTTTTTTTTGCCTTTTACTCCTGCCTCTAGGTAACACGCTTGTATTGCAACTTGTTAATTTCTCTTTTCCAGTCAGACCTGCTCTCCACTGCAGATGACGAGGCTTCTGGGGGCTTTGCCCTCCCACACCCGGGTGCTCCAGCACACACACACACACACACACACACACACACACACACACACCCTTGCCCTCCCCCGTCCTCTCAATGTAGCTAGATGGTGACTTGGGTGAGGTCGATACTTGCCATTCACCTCGTGGGGATCATGTAAGCGCCATTTGCAGCTGAGCTCCATGATGCACTGGGGTGGCCTTGGCTTTTCCTGCTCAGCTTTTCATGTTTCCTTGGTTATTAATTATCCTCCTCTCCTGCCCCCACCCTGGCCTAATTTTCTCAGTACTTGTCAGTTCAACTGCAAACTCTTTGACGGAGGTCCAAGTGTCCTCTCAACCCTCTCTAATTTATCATGATTCTATCCATTTACCTCCTGGACAAAACACCCTGGAGTCTCAGATAAGCGAACTGCTGGACCGCGTACTCTTTGGTATAGGGCCACCATCCTGAGGTTTTTTGCTGTCTCCATTTAGGGATTGTGCTTACTTCAGTCCCAATCTGAGTTTCTGTTTCCTGCGTCAAGGGTCTTATTCTTTATTACTTGACCTGCCTCCCGCTTTTTTTTTTTTTTTTGGTCCCGGGGATTGAACTCAGGGGCACTCGACCACTGAGCCACATCCCCAGCCCTATTTTGTATTTTATTTAGAGACAGAGTCTCACTGAGTCACTTAGGGTCTTGCTAAGTTGCTGAGGCTGGCTTTAAACTCACGGTCCTCCTGCCCCAGCCTCCCAAGCCTCTAGGATTACAGATGTACACCATTGTGCCCAGCTGACCCTTATCTTTTTGATGTAAGCACCTTGAGAAAGGGTATATGGGAAGTAGAAATCTTGAGACTTTCTGTAGCTAAAAATGTTTTTATTCTGTTTTTTCTTTGACGATGGCTTAGTGGGTATAGAGTTCTAGGTTGAAAATCATTTTCCTTTGGAATTTGGAAGACATTACTCTCACCTTCTTGCTTCTAAGTTTTTATTAAGTCTAAGGTTATTTTGATACTTTATATGTAATGTATTTCCCCGTCTCTTCTGGAAGTTCACGAGTTCTTTTCTCATATTTTGAAGTTTTGTAATAATGTTTCTTGGCAAGATCTGAAAGTTTGGTTCTTAAGTGGACTTCTAGTTGATTTCCTTATTTAATACCCTCCTCTCTGGAGGTGCCTACTCATTTCAATTTCATTTTCAATAGTACCTGGTGCAAAAATTCCTGAGCCTTTTGGAGTTTTGGGGAGTAAATCAGGTTGGCCTTGGCTTTCCCCGTACCAATTCAGAATTCTGTATTCCCAGTTCTTTTGAGTGGTTCACCTACTAACCTATCCACTTGCTGTTATACAAAATGTTCTATAATCTCTCCTGTTCTCAGGTGCATGAAGGCTTATTTTCATAATCGTAAACCCCTGCCTTGTCAATCCAGTGGTGCTTAGTGGTATTGCAAAAGTAAAAACATACGTTTGTTCTGTCATCTTTTCCCCAAAGTCTTGCTGGCTAATCTGAACACGGCACTTTCTCCATTGCTGAAATTACATATCTTCCCCAGGGCCTCGCCTGACTCCCCTCTCCATTCCTCATGCTACCTCTGAGGCTGATCACTGGTAAACATGGGGGACATTTAACAGGATCCCCCTCAGTAGTGATTACCACGTGTGATTACCCTAAGAAGTCCCTGAGAGGAATGTCTCAGTTTGCTTTGCTCAGTTGCAGGAATGGGGGAGAATTAAGACAGGAAAGAGCAAGAAGTCAGTACAGGTGCCAAGCCAGCCACCACTGTGGGCACGCTGAGCTTGATCCCATGGGGGAGTCTCAGGAAATAGTTGAGGACGCGCAGCACAGACTGGCCCCACGCAGAGGGTGAGGGAGTGGGGCATGGATTCTCCAGTGGCCACTAGCTGTTTGTTAAGAAGCATGAACTCCCGGATGGCTGGCTTGTTCTGGGCTGGGAGGGAGTCCTTTCTCAGTCAATCTCTGTCACTATGTCAGAATACCCGAGACTGGGACATTTAGAGAGAAAGGAAATTTATTTCTTACAATTCTGGAGGCTGGGAAGTCTAACACTGAGGGGTGGCATCTGGCAAGGGCCTTCTCACTGTGGCATTCTGTGGCAGAAGGGCAAAGAGAAGGCGAGAGAGAGGGGCAAAAGAGGGCCAAATTTATCCTTTCATAGAGAACCCACTCCTGTTCTAACAAAGCTACTCTTACTATAATGACATTAATCCTTTGAGGAGGGCAGAGTCCTGAAAGCCTAATCATCTCTTAAAGGTCCCAC